TTAGTTTCACTCTTTCCCCCTCACCAAACACCATTCAATCACACCTCATCCACTCACTCACTCACCCAACCACCCAACCACCCATCCACACACGCACACAACTACCCTACCATCCCTCCTTTCCATCCCTCCAACACACCCAACATCACAATCCGCCCAATGCCCTCGTCACCCTCGTCTTCCACACCAACCTCACGCTACTCGTCCAGGCGCGCATCCTCCCCCACGCACCTTCATGCACCACTCCACTACACGTCACACATAGACACGCCAAAACATCTCACACCACACCCACTCCTTTTCACCCACCCTCTATCCAGTAGCTTCCTCCTCACCATCACCTCTAGTTCACGCACCTTCGTACACCACTCCACTACACGTCACACATAGACACGCCAAAACATCTCACACCACACCCCCTCCTTTTCACCCACCCTCTATCCAGTAGCTTCCTCCTCACCATCACCTCTAGTTCACTGCTCCAACACTGCACTGTCACCACGCCTTACTCACCTCGCCCCCTCACCCCCACTTCACACCACTCCTTCCCCTACACCACTCACACAACACACTACCCTCACACACCCATCAACCTACCTCGATGACTCTGGCAAGGAGATGCGAGGTGCCCAAATCATCACTCAGCGTCGCGATGCGGCCACGCACCAGATTCCACAACGCCCGTCGACCACCCGGCGTACCAGTCACACCCAGAAGTGCATGCGTTCGATCCTGCTTGCGCACGTACTCCGTGAATGTCAGCTCGAAGAGTCGCTGCATCAGGTCACCATTGGTCGTGGCACCCAGACTGCCGAGAACACGCACACGCTCATCGTTCAGAGTGGCCCGATCATGAAGCTGCTCGGTAAACAATACACCTCGTCCACTTTCCTCTCACATACCAACAAACCAACTTCCTCCTCATTCTCCCCACTCATCCCACTCCCCTCCACTCCACTCCACTGACACACACCTCCTCCACTTCAACTCTAACCCCACTCATCAACACCAACTCACCTCC